TACCCCACCACCGCATACGTTGTCTGTTGTCTGCCAACAGTGAACGAATTTCAAAGTTTCAAAGGCAACCCCCTCAGAGGCTCACAGGCCTGTGATTGCCCGATGTTGTCATCCCCAACTTACGCGTCCTTAATTAAACAATGACAGATGCCCAGAATCATAATTGTGGGTCCATTTGCATTGACTCCCATCAAAGAGAAACTGTTCTAAATACCACAGGCGGGTGAGGATTGCAGATTACCTGCGCAGCACGGCAGCAGCTCTGGCCACCTGCACAGCACTGGAACGGCCTCAACACCAGGATTTGAGGGAGAAAGGAAATCTTTTTCACTGTGACAATTTTTAAAGTAACAGGAGGGAAACATTTTTTAAAAAAGGTCTTTTCCCCCCATGTTTCTCATTTGATTCAAACATTCATTCTAGGAGCTCCAGTGGTGTGATGGTTAAAGCACTCCACTGTTCATGGAAAAGCTGGTGAATTAAACCCACCGGCAGCTCAGCAGAAGAAAGGCCTGGCTACCTGCCCCTGTGAAGAGTCCAGCCTCACTCACTAGTCAGAGACCCCATGGTGATGATTCTTTACACCTGGACAGGAACGTACCCCATGGCTCAGATTATAGCCAAACAGACAGATCACAAGGTGAACAACGACACTTGTAAGGTGGGCAATTCTTAGAAGAATAAACCATTTAAGATCAAATGACCAGATTGAGAAATTGTGGTGAATTCACACAATGGAATACTATGCAGCAGCCAGGGGCAAGGATTTTGAAAAATACTATATAACACGGGAGAGGTTGGCACGTATTATGCTAAGTGAACTAACTCAGTCTCATAAGGACAAATACTGCATAAAACCACTATTGTACAAAATAGAAAGATTACTAATAAGATGCATACAAAAGTCCAAAGTGGGAAGAGGAGAGCGGAAGACAACTGCGGGGAAGGGGAATCTTGAGGGCACAGGGTTATGTGGGCAGAGTGAGGGGTTGAAGAACTTAGGAAAGATCCAGGAGAGACCTGACAAGGTGAGGTAATGATGGGCATCGATCAATGGTGATTAATTTTATAAAACACAATATATGGTAACAATACTTTGAAATTCAATGTGAATAGAGGAATCTGTGAATTTTGTGTGTAAACCAATATAAAATTAAAATAATTTACAAAGAAAGGTCCATTTGTATTCAGGGTCAAAGGTCAGAAGGCAGGAAGGAACAGGGAAGAAAGGGGAGCCCACATGGGAAACACAGGAGGAAGTGGGGTGAGGGCAGTTGTGATGTGGGGATCGTGGACTATGTTGAGAAGCAAAATGTATGTGGATTCCTAAGTGACAAATTGACTTGCTATGTTAACTTTCACTTAAATTAGAACAAGAGCTTCTTTTTTTAAATAAAGACGATTTCTGTTGCAGAAGCCCGGTGGGGCAGCTCCAGTAGGCTCTGACTTGCAAGCCCAACAACAGAGCTCATTTTGTGGTGTCCCTGGGGGCCTGCAGGCTCCGGAGGAAGAGCCTGTGGAGAAGGCAGAAGAGATAGGGACTGGGGGCAGGAGCAAGATAAAGGGGACCCACTCTTCAGTTTCTTCCCTGGAGTCTTGAGGCAGCGGCCTCACCCCGCCCATTTATGACGGAGGTTGGTTGTTGATGGCAGCACCCGGCCTGTTCTCCGGGAGGACGCCTGGCGTCTGCACTTGAGTCCAGCTGTGAAGTGAAGTTGGTGGCAGTGTCTTGGACGCTCCCGGTGGGCGCCATATGCCTGAAAATGTCTAAATTTTGTGCAGAGACACACAAGCAGCAAAGTCGTAAGTGGAATTACATAATTAGGGCATGGACTTGCATGATGATTAGCATGTGTGATGAGGCACAGCCTTCTCATCCTTTAATTAGACAATCAAGATATCTAATTACAAAATTAAGATGTAATTACGTGGCCCAAGATCCATGTAGCTCTTTCTACCCATTAGAGACTCCATTTAGAGAGTAGCTCACAGGAACCGATGAACTCAGAGACCAGGCTGGCTAAGCAGGGCTGTGTTCAATGTGGGGTGTCTGCTTTCTCCTCTTAGGTGCTGGAGATCATTGAAGCCATCACAGTCTAATTGAAAGAATAGCTTGTCTATGTCGTCAGCCTTTGGTCCGTGGCTAATGAGGAGGAGTGTTGGCACGACTGATCTGCGTAACTCACACGTGCTCCTGCGTGAGTCTTGATTACACTTGAACATGGCGTAAGTGACGTCCCAGGAATCCGTCAGATGCAGTCACACAGCAGTGCTGGTGGGCCTCGGGCAGAAGAGGGGGCGACTTGTCCTCCTGCCCACTATGGTTCGCTTGTGACTGCTCTGCAGATAGACCCCTTGCTCAGAAGAACTTAAAGCAACACAAGAGCCAGGCTGGTCTTTTCTCAGATGCTTGAGTATCTGCAGGACAGTTTAATCAAAAAATGCTTTCTATTGGGCTGTACAGGAGACCCGGTCATGCTGTAGGTTAAGCTATGGATGGTTAACCAAAAGGTCAAAGGTTTGAACCTATCCGCTGACCCACAGGCAAAACATAAATAGTCTGCTCCTGAAAAAGTCACAGCCTCAGAAACCATATGGAACACCTCTGTCTGCTCTATAGGGCAGATCACATAGGCTCTGTTCTATAGGGTCTGCTCCATAGGTTCTGTTCTATAGGGGGTCGATTATATAGGATCTCTTCTGTAGGTTCTGCCCCATAGGGTCTTCCTTATAGCATCTGTTCTATAGGGTGTGTTGTATAGGATTTGTTCTGTAGGGGTCTATTACATAGGATCTATCTATTCTATAGGGTATGTGTCATGGGGTCTTCCCTATAGGATCTGTCCCATAAGGTCTGTTGTGTAGAATCTGTAGGGATCTATTATCTAGGATCTATTCTGCAGGGTCTGCTCCATGGTGTCTGTTCTGTAGGACCTGTTTTAGAGGGTCTGTCCTCTAGGGTTGCTATGGGTCCGAGCTGCTCAATGCCAGTGGGTTTGATGCTTTCTCTCAAGTGGGCTGCAGGTGGGAGAGGTGGACCTCAGAGCGGAACCAATCCTCAATCTAAGGAGACACTGGATTACACGTCTAGCGGAGCTTTGGATTTTTACTTTAGTTCAGCGCTCCATCCACTTCCTAAACAACATGACTCTGGAAACTCTATGAACTTAAATAAATGACAATAGTTATAGAAAGGCTTCAGGCCTTTTGTTCAGAGGGCCGCTAGGAGTCGTGCTTGACTGGACAGCAATCAACAACAACAACATGAACCAGTAGCATCCTGGTAAGAGCCTCCACATTTCTCCTTCTCCCCAAACTGAGCCCCGGCTGGTCTCTGCGTGATGCTACGACAACCAGTTTGACTCATTAATTTTGCCAAATGCACTGAACTTTTGACCCAGTTGGCTGGTGGCTGAAGATCATAGTCATGTGGCCTGAGTTTCTGAGCCGGTTCTGACTTCAACTGTATTGTCGCTCAGTCGCTGTGCTCTGGTGGAATGTTCTAGTTGTGTCAATGTTTGGACAGCACCCTGCACTTCTCAGATGGTTGTTTCCTCCTGGAGAGGGCCACCAGGGAGTGTCAGACGCTTTCTCATCTGGAAGGTGAGGAGCTGCACCTCCCTGATAGCACAGGCCCTGGAATCAAAGGCTTCTGAGAGCGAGCTGCTGGTGCCGGGGCCACGTTTCCGGGGTGCGCTCCTCCCCAGCCCAGGGTTGTATCTTTGCCTTTAGGTCATGGAATGTGCTGAGAGGCAAATGATGTGCTTGCCCAGTGCTGACCCAGGGAGGTTACCAAGTGCCTTCAGCAGTGCAATGGCCTTGTCTAAGAGACAACCGTTTGTGATCGATTCGAGGTGAAGGACTGGATGGCTGGGAGGTCCGTTTTTATAAATAATGAATTGGAGGGAATTTTAAGGTGGCAGTGAGGGTGAGTGAGGAGTTGAACTAGTTCATGTCTAAAGTATGGATTGTTGGGTGTGAATGGGATGGACGTTGAGTGAATTGCTGGGTGGTGAATGCATGGATAGGTAAGTGGATGGACCGATTGATGAGTGAATGAATAGATGGGTGGATAAGTGAATGGATGAGTTGATGGGTGGGTAGACAGATGGATGGATGGATGGATGGATGAGTTGATAGGTGGGTGGATGGATGGATACATAAATGGATAAGTGAGTAAACAGCTAGGTGATTGGCTGAATGAATTGATGGATGGGTGAGTAGCATGCACAGGTGCCTGGGTGGATGTGTAGATGATTATACAAGTGAAGACGGCTGTGGTGATGAATGGATAGATGGACGGGTGACTGGCAGGTGCATAATGGATGATGACTGATAGGATAAAGGACCCAAAATGGAACATTATGAACTACTTAGCGGAGGCCCATCACTGAGCCTTGGTGTTCGTCGTCCAGGTGGGAATACTGAGGTTCTAGGGATCCTTGATCTCTCCACTGAAAGGAATTGACTGAGTTCCTGTTCATTTGCTTACCTCTAGGTCTCTACCCCGTCAGGCCTTAAAAACAAACAAATAAACAAGTTTGACTCCTTCAGGTTGACTCCAGTTCATGGTGACCCATGTATATCCTCATGAGTAGAAATGTACTAGGAGAATCTTGAATGGCTTGTTTTTCAAAAGGAGACTTCTAGGAGAGCTCTGGTGGCTTAGTGGCAAGTAGCTGCACGGCAATCCCCGAGATTTGCAGTTCAAATCCACCAGATGCTCTGCTGGAGAAAGAGGGACAATTTCTTCTGTATCAGTCAGATCCGATTTGACAATACACGTGCAAAAATAATAAAATAAAATTAAAACAAAAGGAGACTTCTAGACCTTTTTCCCAAGGTGCCTTGAGGTGGACTTGAAATAGCAAACTTTTGCTTAGCAACTGAGAGCATTTCCTACTCCTCCTTTTTGAGAACTCAACAATTCTGCTTCCATTCACATCAAAAGCATAAATGCAAACCTCAGCGCCTCAGTTTTTTGCCTTTGTCTCCCCTAGGTACTCCACATCAGCATTTTCACGACTGGAAAAGCTGGGCATCAGACACCCCAGACCTTCTCCTTTTATTGGAAACCTGATGTTTTTCTGCCAGGTAGGGATTGTCTTTCGCTCCCTCAATAGTCTAGGAAATACGCTCACCTCCATGCAGGATTCACCTGTGAAGTGCCATCACCTCCACCAGGGACACCTGCGTCTCACACACCAAAGATGTGCCAAGCGTGAAGGTGATTTATGAGGAAACCCCTTCTCTGGGATGAATTCCTGTCATACATGTATCCGTCATTCTATCCATCCACATATCCACTGTCCATCCACTATCCTTCCATCCTCTGTCTATCCATCCATCTATAACCTCCACTATTCATCTACTATCAATACACGGATCTATTCTTCCTTCCTTCCTTCCTTCCTTCCTTCCTTCCTTCCTTCCTTCCTTCCTCCCATTCATTATCCATCCATCCATCCATCCACTCATTATCGATTCACTTCCACCCACCTGCCCACCCATCAACTATACATTCACCCTCCACCCATTTGACCACCCGTCATTCATCCATCTATATATACATTTACTAAACGTCTAAATAAATGTGCCTAACCCTATGCCAAGCTGCAGAGGAAGACAGAAGATGTTAGGAGGTACTGCTCTTTCAAAGAGTTTATAAACTAAGTGGGAAAACAAAGATCACACATAAATAATGTTGTTTGTCACCAGACAGATACACAGCGTGTGGGATTGCGAGGCCTAGGAGATATATGTGGTCATCCTCCTGGGACAGGGATATGCAGCACAGGAACAGAATCAGCAGGGAGGACCCTGAGAAGGGACCCTGGAGGCACAGAGACCTGCACAGTTGGTTAGTAAGCCTCAGTTTTTCTGAGGGGAGATTGAAAAGCCACTGTCCTAAAATGGCAATGATATTAAAGAGAAAAGCATTCTTAGAAAAAGTAGTCATTCTGGCAACTGATTCCCAACCCAGTCAGCAGTGTTGACAGGATTGAACACAGAGTGTGAGAGGAGAGCTGGCTTTTCAGTGGTTCATGTTTTGGGAAGAGATTGTCCGACTTTTCTCCCACAGTGCCTCTAGGTAGATTTGAACCCATAACCCTCTGGTTCGTAGTCACATGCTTAATCATGTGGGCCATGCTGAGAGCTTGTGCCCTGCCTTGTGTTGAGAATTCAAGGCTTAATGAGTCAAGTATGATAACTGAGAATGGTCCCATCGAACAGGATCAAGGTCAGGGTTAGGGTGTGGGTTCAGGGAGATGTGCTTAACTTCACGTACGTCATCCTGAAATGCCAAGTGACAGGCATGTGGAATTGTCCCACAGACATTTGCAGACACTGACCAGGGCTCTGCTTTTGTGGTTATTTTTCTCACTCTGGCTTTTCTTGGGAGCCAGAGCGTTCATTCTGCTGACTCATGGGGACACAGCCACCAGACCGGTATCAGGAGCTGATCGGACCTGTCTGTGGAAAGGCACTGACCGAGGGAAGGCGGGAAGCCTGGGCCTGTCCTGATGGCACTATCAGCAACTTCCCACCATGCAGGAAAGGCTGCCTCGTACCAGATGGTGGCCGCACCGCTATTCCCGTCTTCCCTCCGCCTCTCTGGGTTTATCTGCTGTCCCCTTCCACACTGTGCATTGTTGCTGTCCCTGTATCCTCTCCCTGGGGTGATCAGCTCCCTGCAGGGCTACAAACCACAGCTTGTCAGAACGTCTTCATGCAAGTGCAAAGAAAATACAAGTGTCAGAGCAGAACTTCCAGACTGGAAAAGAAAGAAAACAAGTATTGGTGTTTCCAAAGGGAATGGCTGGGTCACTGGTGAGTGCCGTCCAGGCTTGTGCCAGCATTCCAACTGTCCACACCAGAGGGACGCCCTGGAGAATCTCCACCATTGTCTGCTTTTCTGCTCACATCCTTGTATGCACAGACCCTGCTGGGAGTGTTCTAGAACTCTGCCACTTTATCACTTGTTTTTATATTCATACTCTCTTCCCTACCTAACATACCTACCCTGTGAAATTCAGTCGATTCAATGTGAATGCAGTGGATTTCTATTCTACACGGTCACCTCTTCCATCCCCACATTTTCACCCTTATGTAGCAACCGCTTAGTCTGTGCCTGGAAGCAACTTTTCACATTTTCCAATCCTCCACTCCTACACCCCACATTCATCTTCAAGTGTACAGTCCTCCAAGCACAACAGACCTACCATGTCCTGGCCCTTCACTCAGAAACCCACTCATGTGCTTGTCCATCCCCACAGCGCAGCCACAGCCCTGCACCACCACCCCGTCCCCACAACACCACCCCGTCTCCAAACCACTGCATCCCCACAACACCACCCTGTCCCCACAACACCACCCCATCCCCACAACACCACCCTGTCCCCACACCACCACCCCGTCCCCACAACACCTCTCCGTCCCCAGAACCCCACCCCATCCCCACAACACTACCCCGTCCCCACGACACCTCTCCATCCCTACAACATCTCTCCATCCCCACAACACCGCATCCCCACAACACCACTCTAGCCCCAAAACACAATGGGTCCAATATGTTCTAACTCCTCCTCCTCCTCTACCCCTATGTATCTACAAGTATCCCAAAGCACAATGGATTTACCATTTCCCAGCTCTCAACTCAAGCCATCACCCTTGTCAGTCTGCACACACCCTCCACTTCCCTTCAACAGCCCAACGCAGCCCTCTGACACAACTCCATCCCACAACACAGCGGGTCCTACATATTCTGACCTTCCTTTCCTGTCCTGTCCTCACATATCTGCAAGCATGCTCCATTCCCATAAGAAGAGTCTGTCATTTCCCAAGCCCACTCATACACCCCTCTGTGCGTAGCTGCACACATACTCCATCCCAACTACACAACGAATCTAGCATTTTCCAACCTCCCACTCCCACCGCACCCAGCACCTCAGCTTGGGTCCTGTGCCCCCGCTCCAGCACGGCAGACCTGCACTTTCCACGCCTTCCCCTGAGCCAGCTGATTCGCCGTCTCCCCAGAAACAGTCCTTTCTCACTGCGGTTGTCTAGACCTTCACTCTGAAAAAAGTTCCTCTAAACTTCTTACATTTGGGACATTTTTGTTTTCATTAAAATTTAACTTGGATGGTGATAATTCAGAATTTGAAAATAATTTTTAGAGACTCTGTGGAAGTTTACACACAGAGTGGCTGGGAAAAGAGGCCATGCCAAAAACAATAGTAATATAAACCAAATTACAGAGAGGAATGCTAACAGTTGAGAAAGCAAGCCATTTTCAAATATTTTCATAGTCATTATAAACAAATAGTTTAAGTACAGACAATCTCTTTCACCCATTAGACTGAGGCAGGCCGAAACTTTTATTTGAAAATGTATAGCTTTTCAAAGCTATTAGTTTGTGCTAATACTCCAAACTCCTTGAAAGCCATATAGCTTCAGTTTTGTCGTTGTTTATGTAATTATGCTCACCCTGTTCCGAGCTTTTCCCCTGAATAAGTCTGAGGCATTGGCATTGCCCTGACTCTTGTTCTCACGGTGTGCTGTGTTCTCTGCAGGGGTTCTGGGAAGGCCAGCTGGAGCTCAGAAGACGATTCGGACCTCTGTGCGGGTAAGGAGTGCACGGGCTGTGGGTTTGCCCTGTGGGATGTGGGTTTGCATTGCTCCAGGGTGCACTGCTCTCAAGGCCATCCCAGGAACAGGGATGCTGCCCGAGTGTCTAACTTCTGGGGCCTGAGTGAGGGCGTCATTGAGCACAGAAGAGGATGCTGTCGAAGACCCCCAGGTCACCCCCAGGGGTCCTGGAAGAGTACCCCCTTCAACATTAGGAGCTTTTCTGCTGGCCTGTATTCGGAGTATCCTCCCATCTTTCCCAGGGCACCTGAGGGCATCTGTGGGGCAGGGCAGAGCATTGCCCCTCTCACACTGGCTTCTCTCAGGGAGGCCCTGACCTATCTGTGGTGACCCCACATGTGTGGGGAAAGAACTGGGCTCCAGAGGAATTTCAGAGACTCATTTTGCAGAAGTGAGTCTCTGGGTCTGTCTTTCAAGGTGGACTTGAACCTCTAACCTTTTGATTAGTAGTTGAATATGTTAACTGTTCCACTCAGAGATTCCAATGGGCGTTATTCTGTGCCGGGTGGTGGGTTCTGACTCACAGCGAGCCTGGGGGACAGAGTGGAACTTCCCCAGGGCATTTCCTAGGTGATATCATTCTGAGGAACTAAAACATTGAATTCCAAACCAAAAGGTCAGGGGTTCGAATTCACCAGGCACCCTGCGGAGGAAAGGTGCAAGCGTCTGCTTCTGTAAATGGTCACAGCCTCAGAAGTGCTCGAGGTCAGCACTGCTCTGTCCGACATGGTCGCTAGACATCAGATGAACTGAGGGCGGGGCCTTCAGCAGGTCATCTCTACAGAGCTGGTTGCCAGGCCTTCTTCCAAGGAGCCTCTGGATGGGCTAGAACAGCCAACCTTGCAGTTAGTAGTCATGTGCTTTCCTGTTTGCCTTGCCCAGTGAGTCCTCTACGGGATGTCCCTGGGCAGCACGTGAACAGAGGCTGTGCTGGACACCCCAGTGTACGGCCACCCTAGTTCTCAGCATGCCTCCCCTTTGATGTTTCTCAGAGGTTTCCCCCACACATTATGTTCACATACATATGGCGTAAAATTTGCTATTTTAGCCAATTTAAGTGTATATTAATTGGCATTAATCACCCTCACAGTGTTGTGACACCCTCAGCCCTCTCTCCTTCCAGAACTTTTTCATGGCCCCCGACAGAAACTCCATGATCACTCATTCTTCACGCCGCCCTCCCTCCTTGGTAACCTCCCATCTACCTCCTGTGTCCGTGGGTTTGTCCTTAACAGCTCACACAGTGGGGTCATAAGCTGCATGTCCTTTCCCGTCTGGCCTCTTTCCCTATGCACAATGCTGTTGGGGATGCTGGTGGCCTCGTGGTCAGGGGATCGCACTTCCAACCTAAATGTGGCGTCCCCTCCGTGTGACTAGAGCCTCTGAAAACCCGCTGGAGGGTCGGCTATGAGTCGGTTCACACTTGATGGTGTGAGTGAGTGAGGCTGTCAAGCTCTTCTCATGTCCTGGGGTCTGTCCGGCCCTCACCTCTCTTTCTTGCTGAGTACCCAGAAACCACACTGCATGTGCCCACCCACCTGCTGAGGGATGTGGGTGGGTTCTGCCTCGTGGTGTTGGTGGTCACCCAGGCTTTGGTGGACAGGGACCTTTGGGGCAGTTCCTGTCCAGTGTCTGGGGTGTGCACCAAGTGGAATTGCTGGGCTGTGTGGTCACTGGGTCTGGCTTTTCGAGGAATCGTCAGAGCGTTTTCCACAGCAGCCGTGCCGTTTTACATCCCACCAGCAGCAGATGGGGGCTGCCGTCTCTCCACGTCCTCGGCGGCCCTCGTCATTGTCTGTGTCCTAGTGGTCATGGCAGTGGGGGCAAGGCGGCGGCTCCCCAAGGCTTTGGTTTGTGTTCCTCTGGTGACTGACCCCCTAGTCCTGGGTTGGCCTTTCCCACACTTGCAGGCGCGCTCCTCGTTTTCCAATGTTCCGGTGTCCAGCGGGTGAGGCGGGTGAGCATGTCCACGCACGCACATCCCACCCATTCAGGGGTAACGGAAGCTGTGTGGATCCCCACTCGGCTGTCCCCAGGCTGGTGTTCCGATGGTCTGTGTCCTGGCTCGGGTCCCCTGTGCCGCTGGACACTGTGCAGTCCCCCGGGGGAAGAGAAAGCTCTGCTGTGTTCCTCGGGCACACCCTGACAGGCGTGGTGGCCAGGGAGTCCCTCTGTCCTTGACGCCCATCCATTTCTGAGTACAGCGCTGACTCAGAGTGATGGTGACTTCCCCAAAATGAGGAGCAGTCCCCCAAGTTTGAGTTCTGGGAAGGCTTCCCTTGGGTGATTCATACACTCATTTTCAGAGCAGATCTAGGCCGTGGGGATTTTCCAACCATGTCTAAATGTCAGAAGAAGAGTGGGAAGGGCACTCTGTGAACTAGTGTGTACGCATGTGTGTGGGACGTGTGTGTATAACTGTGGGTGGTATGTGTACATATGTGGTGTGTGTTTATATGTGAAGGTGTATGCGTGTGCAGGTGTGTATATTTGTGCATGTGTGTATATGTCCATGAGTGTATGCATTCATGTGAGCGTGTATGTGTGCATGGTTTGTATGAATGTGCACATGTGAAGTGTGTGTATATAAGTGTGTGAGTGTATATGGATGTGTTTTCTGTATGACAGTGTGTGTGTACATGTGAAAATGTATGAGTGTGTAAACAGGCATGTGTGTGAATAGGTATGCTAGTGTGAATGTCTATTTATGATAATATGTATCTGTGGTTTGTAGTAAATATGATATGTACACATACATGTTTGAGTGTGTGTATGTGTGTGTGCAAGTGGTGTGTGTATACGTGTGGTTGTACATGCCTGTGTGTGTACGTGTCCATGTGCATGTGTGTGTGCACACGTGTGTGTAGGTGTGCAGGGTGTGTGTATGTATATGTGTGCTTGTGAGTGGACCTGTGTGCACATATGCGCATGTGTGCACCCGTGAATGTGTAGGCGTACGGTTTATATACGTGTGCACCATGAGTGTGTATGTGTGTGAGTGTGGATGTGTTTGTGCATACGAGTGTGTAATGTGTATATACGTGAGTGTATGTGCTTTCACGTGTGAGTGTGTGTGTGGTGTGTATATGTGTATGCATGCAGGCGTGTGGGTATATAAGCACGGGAGCAGAAGGAATGGAGAGGAGAGACTTGGTTTCCTTGACAACAGGACAGCCAATCAACTTTACCCCCAACTTTAATTAAGTGAACCCAATTTATCCTTTTTATTGCATGAAAACTAAGGTTGGAGAGAATCATTTGAAGCGAGGTTGCAAGGATCAAAATTGCATATCAGCTTCTTGCTTTGTTTTCATCTTTGGCAAAAAAGGAAGGAGATGGCATAATTTCTTCATACAAAGCTATCAATATTTTCCTTGAGGGGAAAAAATACAGGAGTCGCCAGATCCTGGCTTCTTTTTAAGGCAATGTGATGCAAGGAGTGACCTTATGTCAACTGGCCTCAGTGGTCTTGGCTTTAAAACGTGGAGCCAAACTGGTTTACATCCAAGATCTTTTCTAGCTCTAAGTGTTTTTATTGTGACTACTTAAACCTTAGAAAAAGAAACAGTCCTGTTGATGAAGAATGTCAGTGAAAACAACGCAGTTTGGAGGGCACTGCTTTTTAGACTAGGTGTGTGGTTGGAAACACTACCAGCCCCGACTTGGTCTTTGTTCAGGTTTCTAGAGCTGCCATTATCAGCTTGGAGACAATAGGTGTTATTACCTCAAGGCTCAGGAGACACAAGTCCAAGCCCCACATGTCAGCATGCCAGGCCCCTTCTGGAAGTTTAGGAGCTAAGTGACCCTTCCTCACTTCCACCTGCTAAGGTCGGTCCCGGCAGTCCTTGGCATTCCTTAACTTGAAGGTGGACCTCTACATTCTCTGCTTGAATCTTCACACAGCCATCTTCCCTCTGTACCTCCTCTGTGTCTCTTGCCCTCTTTCCCAGGACAGCATTTATACTGGATGAGGACACATCCTCTTCTGATATCTCTTCATGTTCACGTAACTTCAAAGAACCTATTTCAAAACAAGGTCACCTTTGCAAGTATAGGAGGTTAGTATTTCACCAAATCGCTTGGGGACCACATTTCAATCCTCTTAAAGTCAAAATAATAGATTGCTTCCCCACGGAAAGGTTAAACCTCACATCTGTTGATGCTGTACACAGAGAGGTGCATTGTGGTCTTGGATGGTTGGACAGCATTGTATGTTAAGAGGACTGTGGGCGGAGAGGAGCTCTCACCGTTGCTGGGCCTGGACAGCAGATGTGATGATCATTTAAGCTTGTGACTTGGTCCTCGCATCAGAGCAACTGTGAGCTCAAGACTCTGCTGGGAATCAGCTCCGTAGTCCTCTCCCCTCGGGCTCAGGGCTGGGGAAAGAAGTTCCTGAAGAAGCAAGAAGGGTTGGCAATATCCGTGTGTATGATCACCACCAACAATGTTACTACACCTTTATCACCACCATCACTGCCACTGCCACACACACCTGCTGTAGCATCATCGTTTCCATTACCACTGCCTCCTGCACTGTCAGTGTCACCACCAGAATCACCACCACCACCGACACTGACGCTACCACCACTGTCCTCACCATCACACAACCACTGTCACCATGACCACCACCATCAACCCCCACCATCACTACCACCTCCACAGTCACCATTGTGACCATCATCACACTACCACCACCATCACTATTACCACCACCGCTGCTATCTGTACCGTCACCACTTCTACCACCACCACCACCACCACATTGCTTTACCCCAATTACCTGTACCTCTACTTCCACCACCACAACCACCTCCACCACCACCATCACTATTACCACCACTGCTGCCATCTGTACCATCACCACTTCTACCACCACCACCACCACCACCACCACATTGCTCTACCCCTATTACCTGTACCTCTACTTCCACCACCACAACCACCTCCACCACCACCATCACTATTACCACCACTGCT